GAGGCGGGGCTGGCCCAAGGCCCTGGGGCTGTCCCGCCACCACTGCCGTCCTGGGAGAGGTGAGCACCCCAGGTTCCCACCTGCGTGTGGAGGTCCCCACGAGAGGTCACCTGGGACACGGAGGAGCTGCGCAAGGGCCCGGCCTCCCTTCAGGCCGAGCTCCATGCTTGCAGACACAAGGGACCAGGAGGGGCGTGGCAGCCAGCCCAAGGGCCCAGTGCTTGAGCAGGGCCCCTCGTCCTCATCGATCTGTTCCCCAGCGGGAGTCCGGCCCTGGCCAACATAGCAGCCCCAGCCCCCAGGCCTGCGCTGGCCAGGTGCCCAGGGCGTGGCCAGGCTGCTGCATCACTGCCCCAGACCCGGAGGACTGCTCACCTGCCCAGCTGCCCCACACTGCTGATACCCAGGCCCAGAGCAGGGGTGACAGACGAAGCGCCAGGGACCCTCTCTGCAGCGAGGCTCAGAGGGACCAGTTCTGCCCAGCCCTGGGGGTCGCCCTGTGGGCAGCACTCACTCCCCCTTACCCAGCGCTGGGGGCCTGATCTCTGGCCCCATTTGAACCTCTAGCCAAGCCCCACACCATGAACCTAAGCTAAGACCTGGCCATGCAGTGGGCCCAGCCCAGCCCTGCCTCCAGACCCAGTCACACCGCCACCCTGCTCCCCCAGATCAAGTCGGAGGGCCAGACTGGGGCACAGGTCCCTCACACTTCTCTCAGCACGCGGCCCTTCTCCGTCAGCGGACAATGGCCAGAGACAGTCTCGAGAGTGGCAGAGACACAGGGTTCAGCCTCAGATGGACAGAGACAGCGACCCCGAGGGGCAAAGCGGAGAGAGGGAGAAGTGGGGAAGGCAGGGAGGCAAAGAGGGACAAGTGAGATGCAGGAGGGCGGCAGGGATCCCAAGCAGTCAGCGAGGCCCACAATCGCGCGCGGAATCCGCAGCGGGTCCGCGAGGCGCGCCCCACCCCGTCCGCGCCGCCGCAGTCCTGCACTGCGCGCCCCTAGACACGCCCCAGCGCGCGGCCCCGCGCGGAGCCCCCCCGCCCCACG